ATTTGATCAACATTTAAGAGTCTTTTAGTTAGAAGTGGTAATGAAATCCAGTATCCGGGTACATTCAGCTGATAAATACCAAACAGTTCTAAAGGCAAATCCTAGATTCCTTTGCTAGCCACCAACAAGTAAATGACATCAAGATGAAACTCAAAGCAGTGTTGAGCCTTTAGTCCAAGCAGCCTACATGCTAAGGGTGATAGGTCAGTTTGGTCCACTGTAATAATCAATAAGAAATTGCAAGCATCAGTAAATAAATTAATGAATCTAACCTGAGGCGTGACTGGACTCTGAGTATGGATGCTGCCATATCTATGATCTTCCAGAAGCTTGTACATTGTCTTTAAAACCAGCATGTAGTCAACAGGATTGATCCCGGTACGCTCTTCAAAGATATTGGGTAGCATTACATTATTGGAGACACATTCAAGAACCACCACAGTTCAAAGGAAATTCACTTTCATAACATGAGGAGGCCTATCTGAATTTTTAGTTATCCACCTGTTTTACTGAAGGTCTTACGGTCGATTATGACAGATTATTTTCCTAAGAGAAGAACCAAATGGTGTACTTTGTTCAAGAGTTTCTTTACCCCTGTTGGACGTTTTTCTCAACCCTTATCTTCATGAAGCCGGTCTTTACGCCTCGTGCATTAGTAATAGCAGAGGTACTTACTCATGGTCTGCTTCTTGTGAATATTATGCCATAGTTTCTAACTGGAATTTTATGTTTCACCTCAGTATAAGATCTCTAGTGGCCTCTAACTCCAGTGGATAAACTCCCATATTTAGCGACCAACTTATTGACACTCGGTTTTTTCAGGGTTGTCACTGCTTCTACCACTACTACTTTCAGATATCAAGAATGCATCATACTTCATGGCCATTTTTCTATTTCTCCTTTCAGTTATCTCTCCTACCTCTTTCGGGATGTCTGTACACCTGTGGTCACAATGAAAGGATAATGTATTTCACGACTACTTATTCCTATAAAAATTTCAATATCTTCAGTGCATACCACAATGGCTCAATCCAACATTCTAACACTGGAGTTTATCTCAAGAGATAGAACTGTTGGTCATCTTTCCATCAAATATAATTTTTCTGTCCAGCTTTTGCCTTCTCAAGCAAACAGTTTCTCTGTCGATTTCTCTCACAAACCAAAATCTAATAGGGTCGTAAAAAACATCTGCACCTTCATTCCACTGTACAGCTTAACTCTGAACGCCCTTATCTCCTACATACAAAGCATCGTCCTCTTTGACTCATTTAGATGGTCGCCACTTGATTTCATTGTTCTCTAACTTCCTTCTCGACAGGGTCCACTCGTTGACTTTCAGCTATCAGCGGTACCAATCTTGGGCTTACTGGTTGCTTGGTATATCAATCTAATTCGCTGATATCCGCGGATGTGCTGCACTTGTGGATAATGGGCTGTAACTGTAAAGATACTCAATAAACTGTAACACTCGAAAATGTGCTTGAAATTTTTCATGGAATATGAGCCAGCCTCAAAGTAGATCTGTGAGCGTCAGTGCCATCGAATTGCAACCTGTGCCAAATTTCGTTCTTTTAGATCGATGCATGGTTTCTTGTGTGTCTAGTCCTATGAACAATCAATAAATAATGAGCCTCATTAACGCATTACCAACAGCTTCCTTCAGATGGCCGTAGGTCACCTTGTCCCTGCTTCTTGACTGAGTCCAAAATATAATTAACTTCAACTCTGGACGCTAACTGGTTCTGAAACGGCCTCAGAAGGTTTTTCACACCCATTGTCTGCGAAATTTTGAGGCTGTTACTTTCAGTTTTGTTAATGATGGATATTGCTAGCAGTTTGTCGAGAGGAAGTGACACTGCTTGTAGGGAGCAAACCTGGTGAGGATGAAGAGAATAGCTTTAGGAAATCACATTGAGTATTAATGAAATACTACACGCAAATAGCAACTGCATTCTACTTTCGAGATGAATGGTCCTTCAGTTACTTTTATTTCTTTCATTGTCTTATACATTTCCTGTACACATTTTTCGTTTTTTCTTCGAGAACTTCTGCTAACTGATATCTACTCTAATTACCCTTCCCAGTGACACCATACTGTATTCTGCAGAATCTTGAATTATAAAGCGGTTGGTACTTTAAGCGTGAAATTCATACCCATCAGTCCAAATAACAGACATTTAGACTGGTACCATTCTCGACACATGGGAATTTCTTTTTGGCTTTCTTTCATCACTCTCCTTTATTGGTGATAGACAATTATCCAAGAACAAAGCCATAGTTATGAATAATTTCGGGTTGCAAAGACGATCCAGTGTTTCTGTCACTGTTGACGTCGTATATGGTTCCAGTTCTGTTATGTGATTTGGTTCACTACAGCTGACATAGATATGTATTATTCTCACTAAGTTGTTTCACCAAGAAAAGTGATTGACTGTACGGGCTGTCGGTTTCTTCAATTATTCCCTAATTTAGCACCTTTTGAACTTGTCGGTCTACTCTGATTTATTAGAGGAATTTGGCATGTTGTAGATGCTTTCATTAGTTATTTTCTTACTGGAATCTGGTGTTTAACCTCAGAACAAAAACTGAAAGTTTATTCGTGTCAAGTGAATAACTTTGCACAACTTTTAAGTCCCTCGTTGATGTTTGATCTTTTCTCCAATGTTGTCATTGTTGCATTCGCTTCTACCTCAGCTACTTTGCTGCTTTTGTGTATCGAGAATGCTCCGCGCGTAGTGGTCACTTATCTACATCTCGTGTCACTCATAGCACCTACCCCCTCTGGAAGTCCGTTCCCAATATTGGTTACTGTAAGCCTGTCCTTCCATAGACCAAACCTCTGTTATTCTTCTTTACTTTCATTTACATAGCTGCCACACGACGCTCTAGTCATCTAATCCACTTGCCGCACGATGATGTTCACTTCTTCATTCTCACTCATTACCATAGCCATGCTGTGACTCTTTATTAGCCTGATAACCTCAAATGAGTAGCTAACGCACATCACTTGTGAGGTATTTACTAGCTCCAGCTGCTCCTCGAGAATGAGACTCGCCATTCAAAGAGGACAACACTCGACTCAGCACATTCGTCAAAGTGACTCCCAATACCATAGAGTCGCCACTTGTGCCAACCTCCTTGCATGTCAATCTCTGCACAGCTTCCTGCTCGTCTGCTATTCCGTCAAGCCCCATAATCAACCGGTCAACAACAATCTCACAGCGTCATTCAGTCAGCGTTCTCCACACTTTCATACACTCCAGTCACCGTCGATCCCTGCATGACAACAGTCTGTGAGTCTTTCAGAATGCTGTGCATATATCCAACCTCAAATGCGTAAGTCAATGGAATCTTAACCTTCTCTGTTGGCACAGATACTGATTATAGAAACAAGACAGGTGAGGTCCGATGACGTTGTTTATTGAGTTGGTGGGGATGGGAGGGGGGGTTGGAGGTAGTTAAACTAAGTCTTGGTTAGAGATAACCACTCACAATGACCACAACTCATGCAAACAATCTGTGAATTATATGTAGTAGGTGAGTTGATTTTTAGTTTCGGTTGTTTCTTCGTCCTTTCTCTCTAAAGTCTCTATGGATTCTACAGCAACTTTACTTACTTTCCCCATCGATGGCATACCGCATACTACTGACATGAGTAGTACACACCATACAACGATTTATTCACGTGAGAAACTTCCACAACTTGAGAAAATTTGTAATGTTATAAGTAGAACGGATATCTTCATCATTTTGTCATACAAAGAGACTATACGTAACAACAGTTTTTTTGGATAACTACGATTTATAAGTCAGCGGTCCCCTGGGGATCTTTCCATAGGATAATTGTCCAGTTGACTGTTATTGTTACCATTTCAGAGGTAAACTTTGTCAGCAGATGTATCTAGCACACCAGTGTAAAGAATGAAGTCTCTTATCTTCCTACACCTTAATACTTATGAAATTTCAATTAGTCCTCTGGAGTTTATCACTTTCGACTTAAAATAAACATTTTATGCAAGTACTTGATAGAACATCTCTCTACACAATTAAGAGAAATCAAGGTGAAAGAAATCACAACTGACAAACAGTTAAATCTGGTGGAGATGGGCATGGTGTGAATATGAACAGAGTTTTCACCACTTTCACTAGATTTCGGACCAATTAACTTACGGTATCCTCACTTGTCCCCTTCAAGTGGCTGAAGTGGCTGGACTTCAACTTATACAACCGGAACTATGATATTCAGAAAACGTTTGTTCAAACTAAAAATCGCCTTTGAATATCTAATACTATTGATGAAATATAAAGTCAGGGTATTTTTGCTTTCAACTCTTATTCAGCGGTTACATATGTAATTATAGTATGTTTGTAAGTACTCTTATGTCACTCCTGAAACACACACCTCACCTTCAAAAGCATTAACACTGAAATAACTATATCTCTTCAACCTCCAAACTGCCAGCTACCTCAAAAAGGATAACTCAGTAATCAAAAAACTGTTAGTAATTCCACGTTGAGTCCTTCTATTAATAGTATATATATATATATATATATATATATATATGTCTAGAATAATTTACAGAGGAATAAACATACAATTATCATAAAAAATATTTTCATATGTTTATATACTTTTATCTGGAAGAAAGAATACGTAGATATATGCATGTATCACAGATATTTTCATCTCCATTTACTTCTGCTGATTCTAGTTCACTATCTGTCAGCCAATGTCGTTTTCTTCATTTTATTTTGTTCCGTATTTTTACTTATTATTTCTCTTGTCTCTGTGTTTCTCTCTTCAAATGAAGATGTATAAGAATGAATAGTGTTTTTGGAATTATCTTAACACTACCAATACTACTTATACAATCAGTAGTAGTAGTAGTAGCAGTAGTATCAGTAGGAGTATCACAAAAATGCACCTAAACAATAAAATATTTTGAAAAATAATAAGAGTAGTAGCTAAATACAAGGTGAAATGAAATAAATACAAACAAGTTTATTTAAAATTCTTTTTTTTCATGAAACGGAAGTACCCTGTAACTGGGTGGATAAATTTAAATCAGATGATTTGTATAGTGGAAGAGTTAAATTTAATTCCTTTGATAGTTTTTCCGTTTGTTCACGTACATACTTTATAGGATCATTGTGATCATTGACTGGAATACCGTCGAGTAATAACTTCTTGATTTGTTCATTCAACTTCTCAGCGTCTTGAAGCTAAGCAGAAAAGAAAAATGGGAGCCAAAAAAAAGAAGAAAAACCAATAAAAATTGTTTGATATCAAAGGATATCTTGCTTATGCAAAAAATAATTTCGAAGAAAATTTTTTTGTGTTGAATACAAAACGGTTTATTTCTAGAAAAGTATTCATAATCAAACAAGTGGAAACTAAGAAGGACTTGACGATTGGGTAGTTCTCCTTCTAGCGGTCTGAGGCCCTGAAGGTGTTTTGATGGAATCCTTATGGACAGAATGAATAGTGAGAAAATAATTATCGGTATTTTACTACTATTTCAAGTAATTTATGGGACAGCAAGATTATTTAGCACTAAGACTATTCAAAAGTAATTCTGCAATCGCAGCTGTGATGACTGTGACGAACAACTCTGATGGCTATATTGAAGTTCAAATCCACGATGATGACCAATTTATGGACATAATGCAAACCTACATGATTAATCATGACCTGAACAGCATAGTGGTAGAGTTCTACACTGAGATTATAATTGACAATTTTGAGCCAGTGAGGAGGAGAGGCATCATTCGCCTTTTCAAAAATGCACCTCGCCGATAAGTTCGAACAATTGCAAACATATAGTATCAGTATACAGACTTTGGTTTGAAGGTTTGTATCAACATCAACAAAATCGGATCTTATTTGAAATGAATCTATCTTGACTGCCGGTGATTGTCAGTATTATCACACGAAGAGGATACGGTTCATAGCCATGTATGTCATCTCACAAGCGGTTAGTTGAATATGCTCACGATTACTATCATTATGATTAGTTATCTCCCAGGTATCAAGTCATGTGGAATATCAATACTTAAAGGTCTATCTGATCCATGAACAAGGTCATTAGTACTGAGTAGCATTTCCCGGATACATTATAATCTGTCAGACATTAACCTTTGTTTTGTATTACTAACATATATTCAGTGAACTATTGAAATTTCTGCACATGGAATAATTCAGTCTTGAAAGAGTCATGAAGAATTATGACTGAGACTGCAAAAGCAAGTTTATAGCTGTTCTTTGAGTTGAATGACAAACCTTCCAAATGAAATGCTAGTTTTTGAGGGGACTCCGTGCAAAAAAGGAATAAAGAAAATAATGTTTGACTTATAATTCATGGCTTTAAATAACTCTCCGATGCGCTCAGTTTAATTAACACTAACAGATTGAATTGGACAAAAATGAAAGCATTTGAGTGACGACAGTGAGTAAAATCAACCAATTAAAACTAATTCATTCAGTTCTCAAATCCTTTACAGATGAAATCGACCAATCAGGACTATATCCTGGAAGCGTACACCATCATCAGGTTGAATGCGGAGATACTATTCTAAAGGCGAAAATGACTTTGAGCATAATATTCCCATATAATCAGAAGTAAGATCTAGAAAAACTGGTTTTTGAACAAGGTAAGCATTCATCTATGATATCAACGAAGAGAGTATCTTGCCTCTTCATATTGATAAACTTTAGACACTAATGAAATCGGTCATAATGAAAAAATTAAGGTTCACAAGTACTTATACCTACCTGAGCAATAAATATACAGGAACTTAAGCATGGATAGACTTCAAAGCAAACCATATCCCGACGTAGATAACGTTCATGACAATGACGATGTTCCAGACAACTGTAACCTTTTATTCGACCACATTTATGTATTTCATAGTATGCCCATCTTTTATTACGATGATGAATTATATTTCCATTTGTACTACTGGTAGGATGTAAATTTACAAAATCTAACTCATAGTTGATTGATATAAGAACACCTAGAGGATTATAAGGGGAAAGAAAAGAGGACAAATCATAGGATTGAAAATACAGTTTGTTATAAAGTTGAGTTACTTCTCTTCTCTCTTGTTCATTAGAACAAATAAGAATTTAGCATTTTTGTTATCTCTCTTTTATATCGACAAGACTTTACTTGATAAGTAAAACCAGTATGCCGTTGTCCTAGAAAAGTCGGTTACTTGGTGAAGCGAACATAATTTCATACCTTACTTTTGTCATTTAACAAAGCGATTCCACATCTCATGATGCTCACGGTACACACTACATAGATTGTTAGCCCAACTATACTAGAATTGGAGAGTTGTGCATTGCACTGTTGCTTTTCACTTCATCAGTTGAGGGGAGACTTTTTCACCACTCAACCTGCATATAGGATCTACGGCGTGCATTGCTAATAAGTTCTGAATAAGGATAAAATATTAGTGCAATATTTTCCAGATGACAACAATCCACTAGAAAATATATCTGTGGAGAAATAATCAAAGTATTCTTTTTCTCAGTAGCAGTGTGTGTATACATCATGTTATATTGAACTTGGTGACTAACAAAGAAATCCAGAACGCACATTTCTGCCTATTTGAGACTCATCATCTGGATGTACCTGCACTCCAGTGAGTGATGTTGTTCCCACTGAGGTTCCAACCCAGTACCCCTTACTTCAAACTCCACAGCGTCATCGACTAAGCCACTGGGGCATGATAGCACCTGCTGTGCAACAGGTATCATTTATTGTTGTGATACTTGTGATTTTCCTCTTGCTATACAGGGCCAAATTGTTTGACCTCTGTTGGTGGATGGGCTCCTTTGCGGACACCTCGATGCTGACGGATATTCATGACGTAAAAAAGCCCATCTGACAACAGAGGTCAAGCAATTCGGCCCTGAATATACATTCTTTCACTCAGAGGTGAAATTATTTCTGTCTTCTATATATAGTACACAGATATATCTATATGCATACAAACAGTTTAATACTGCATCAGTTTCTTTATTACGATGCATAATTTACGCATGTTTACACACTTGCGTTCATGGACATATTCAGGTATAGAATGAACGCGATGTTTTCTATGTCATAACCCCGTTTTTTACTGCCCAACTTCTTTCTGATTCATTACCGAGTTATATTAATGTGCAGTTGTTCCATAAAAGTTGGATAATGAAACAAAAAACAACTACTATTTTTAGTAGTTATCTTCTTAACGAATTGAACCGTTTCTTACTTCAATCTTATTTGAAAAAAACAAACAAGGGAATGTAGAAATACTCTAATTGTCAACACGCAAATACGTATTCCAAAAAATTACGAAACACTGGACAGTAGTCTTGTCCCAGTTAGGGTCAATTAAATGGTAGATTGAGGCAAGAGTAACTTAGTCCCACAGCATCCAAGTTAGTATTTAGCCATTTGGGTAAAATCTCGGTAACCGTAGATCAATGAATGACAGTATAGAGGTTTATTGAGAACAATTTTACTGTGGGACACTGTCCTATTTGACTAGATCCTATATAAAGTTGACAATGAACACTAACGACAAGTGAGACACTAGGACGGAACAGTTGTCAAGTCGTTTCAATAGTTATCCATGTGATTTCGATCTACGATGAAAATTTCTTTGAAATATTTCATACTGACGATGAATTTTTATGTAATAAAAATTTGATGAATAAAACGTTTTTATGCACTGACAGATTTTGAGGTTATATGTTCGACATCGTGCAGATAGATTCGGCATACACTGAGAAGGCCGACTGGGGACATCACTCACCAGACCCTCGAGTGGAACCCAGATGGGAAACGATGAGTTGGGCGTCCGACGGTGACATGGAGGAGGAGAAAATGAGAGCTTGTAGGCTGTCGTGGAGCCAGTTTCAAAAGATTGCAAAGAAGAGAGTTCACTGGAGACGTGCTACTGAAGCCATATGTTCCATTAGGAACCCAAGCGACAAATAGTAAATAATAATAAATGTTCGAAATCAATCTGTAAGATAACTTGCTTCAACTAAGTTTCTCTTTTTTTCGGTAGTCATCAGTACTATACTGCTACAAAATTGAGGGAGATCATATTCGATGAGAATTGAAAATCTACTTTATACATCATAGATGTCAGAGACCGTACTACTAAACTTCTAAAGTCACAACTGGACTCTACTTTCAAACTGGTCAACAAATGTTAGACAATATAGCAATCACCGCTTGTGTACTGACTGTTAATGATAGTCTGTGACAGTGATAGAAAGCCTTGTTCGACCTAGGTTTTACGCTAATTGTCAACTAAGCATATCTAGGAACTTCAAGATGTTCATATCCTATTTCAAATAGAAAGGAAACTATACCATATTAGAGTATTGTTATAATGACAAGAGATGTATAACACTTTTTGTTATACTCCTGGTTGAATTTTCTTAATACAATAACAGCTTATCTTTCATTGCCATCTTATTTTTGTGCAATAGATGTGTATTTTGTTAGATGTTTCTTATTTAGGGTGTGATAATTACTGAAAGTACAATGTACTTACTAATATATGTCGATGTTACTGAAAGTATAGACTATAGGAGGAGTTATTTATTAGTACAGAATTAATCATAAAGTTTATAATCACTTTATAATCCATTGGAAATGATGTACATTCTTATTGAAGCAGAAACGCTGAACTTCCAATAGGATGAAATTGGACAGTAAATCACTGCCTATATTACACAAAAGAACAGAAATAAAATAACTATTTTAATCCACTAATCTACTAACTGAAATATGGGTAATTAGTTCGTTTCAGTGTGAAGAACAACAACACATGGATACAAGTGCACTGGGTTGACGTCATCCTATGTATGGTGACCCTTATTGTTGACACTAACACAACGTTCATCTCAATAGAACAGCATAGAAGCCTCCATAAGATTACAGTGGTTGATGTGCACTTGGAGATAACACAAACTGAAATTTATACATGATTCGAATAAACGAAAGCGGGTTGCTAACTTCAGCACCTGGTGATGAGAGTTTGAATCTCAAAGGAGACATCAGTTTTCACGTGGTTGTAGATACGCCTTGTTGATGAGTATCAACAAGCACAAAAACTAGGTGAAGTACGGCTTCCTACCAAATGCTTTCAACCAAGTAAATGTTTTAGAGTTTAAAAAGTGATTAAAAAGTGAGTGTTTAATTTTCCGTAAGTTTATCAGGTTACCCAGCGGTTGGTTTATAAAATATTGAGCTATGCAGCCTAAGCCATTTAGAACAATTATCGCAGACACCAGTAACTGGCAAATTGTTCGAATTTGTCACCCATTCATTCCAACGTTATATTGCCCCCAAATAACATTGTATTGCAGATGACAACTGTTGAATTTGTGTCACGCTAGTCTCATCAGTCTCAAAGGCTACATGCATAGTGCATAACCTTCATCTGACTGTTAGCTCATGAGTACGTATGCGTGTAGCGAATAGTACTATTAGTAAACTTGAATAGTATGCGTTGAATAAACCGATACTTGGCATCTGATAAAAATTGGCACAAGCAATCTGACTCATTTCATTATCATTTATTATACAGCATAATCATTTGTTTACCTTTTCCGAAGTCCACACGCCTACGCTTATTTACATGAATAAAAGGAGTCATCCCATATTGTACCAGAAAAATGAGATAAGGTTAGAGCAAGGTGTAAACATAAAAGCAGACAGAAATGATGAAACAGTTTAATCCACCACAAAACACATAACCTGAAAATGATGTCAGTTCATGATGAATACCAACCTGAAATCAATGAATAAATCCCCACAAATCTTCAAACTGAACCCTAAAATAAGCTTAGTGGACACAACATAAACTATATCTTAAGGGGGGAGGGGGGATAGTAACAGCTGAACGGATACCACCTACACTGACGGGTGATACTCCTCCCCAACCAATCATTGTAGTTGGATTAGTAATCTAAACAGAAGTCATGTTTTCATGTCAGTTTGTGTGTATGTATGTGTTCACTCCACCAGTTTCACTTTCAGTCTATGATCAGTAATGCAGTCAAGTTGAATCTACTTATAGTAGTGAAATTCTGTGATATATTATCATTATACTGGAAAATGTAGGGATAACAGGTTGTTGGTTAATCGGGATTTTCGAAAGTTTATGTTTCAGGCAATAAATTTGAAGCCCACCAGCTTTATATCTGAAAATCATCCAGTCACGAGTACTAATTAGCCGCAAGAAAATAAACTAAGGTATTATACTGGTGAACTGTGCGTGTAGTTCGTCAGAACACACACAGACAGACAGGAAGAGAAAAAAAGAGAAACGCTTCAGTACCATTTACAAAGACACCTTCACTTGCATTGCTGATTAATTGTTTCTAAGGTTAGACATGATGATGCCACTTATATTACTGTCTAAAAGTCGTCAAGTACGAGAATAATCAGAGAAGATAATGAAGTAGGCAAAGAGGAGGATTGGATGCCAACCTAGTGACTCAGTGCTAACATGTTGGTCGCGGAACCTGAAGGTCCTGGGTACGAAACAGATGTCCAGTACTCCCAGTTTTCCAGTGTTTCTCCAATTAATATCAGTCCATGATAAAATATCAACCTGAAATCAATAAATGAACCCTCACAAGCCTCCAAATTGAATTGTATGAAGGTGTTTCACACTCTTGGATTAACTCTGAAAGTACTCGTCACTTTCTTCACCTTTGTTTTATGTCTATTAGCTGGCTAATCAGAATTCTACAGCAATGAATCCTGTCATAGTGATTAGAAACTATTCATCTTCATGCTGTACATCAAGTGACCTCTAATTGAATGAGACTGGTAAGAACTTCAAATGTCCTGAATTATGACACGTTATTTTTATTACAGGAAACAGTTGTTTTATGCTAAAGTTTTAGAATTACAACAGTCGGATGGAAACACTATTCGACCAAGTCTTTCCGATAAGGACCTCTGTAGTTTTTGTCATTCGTTGGCTCAATGAATCAC